CGATGACCTAAGAAACCGATTACAGATTCGACTCGGGTCGTCCGAGTTATGAAGCTCGCTGGGTACCCAGCTGCCAATGGTTTTTATATTGCGAGCGAGACAGCACGCAGCGAACACGCGAATCTGATTCAACAATTTGAAGTCCCGGCTTCTGAATCGATCAAAACTGAGACACACACCCACGTTGTCTACGAGGAGGATTCGGCGGACATCTTTTCCGAACGAGCTCAACGCCACGCGTCGAAGCGACACCGCCAGCGCCCGCGCCTCCAGCACCAGGACGGGCCGCCCCCACTCCCAGGCGCCCCAGAACCTCGGCACCCAGCGGCCACGCGCCAGCCCTGCCGAGGCCGCCTCGGGGAAGCCCGGGAAGACCTCGCACCCGCCAGCGGCCATCGCGGCCACCAGCCCGTCGAAGTCTTCTCCTGGATGCCCCACCTCGGCCGGCGGCGGCGGCCCCGCGAGCTCGCGAACTCCAGCGGCCGTCAGCGCGCGCCCCGGCGCATGCGCCGCTCGGACGTCACGGAAGCGGCCCCTCTCGCGAGCGCGGCCAGCAGCCTTCACCTCTTCATCGCTCCACAGGCTGGCGGAGACCCCAAAGCTCCACTACGAGGCGCCACTGGCGCTCACCAATCGATTCCATAGATCTCGGCCACCAGTCCGAGCACAAGAAGGGCATCAGTCCGAGAATAGCACGCAGCTCGTCCCTCGCGGACGGCCACACCGGCTGCCGAACCGAGAGATGAAGTTGCACGCCGAACGGAAGCACGATAAGACGGGTCGCCGCACCAGGCCGCAGAAGGCGCAGCGCCCCAGGATGACCTCCACAATCGCCCCGCTGGCCCCCCCCCCCCGCGGTTCAAGAGGCGTCGGAGCGCGGAGCGCAGCCGCCAGTGCCGCCTCTTCGTCAGCGAGGTGCGCTGCAACTCTCCGTCGGGGACAACCCCGAGCGACTCCACGGCGTCGCCCCTCGCCTCTTCCCCGCGCACCAGCAGGCCGAAGCTCTCGAAGACCTTCACCACGTCAGCGAGCGCGCGCTTCACCCCCGAGCGACTATCGCCCATCACCCCCAGGTTGCCCACGCACACGCAGTGCCTGAGCTCGAGCAGACCGCGACTCAGGACGAGAACGGCAGGCCGACCGCGGCCCCTCAGCGGCCCCGAGGCGTGGAGCGCGGGCACCCGCTGGCAGAGACTCTCGCCTATCCGCTGGCAGAAGAAGATCCCAGCTAAACCCCGTGGGCAGCGCCCGCGCCAACGACGCGATCAACTCCTGCAACGACGACGGCCCCGTCGATCACCTGGCCGACCACGCCGACGCCCTCGGCCAGCACATAGGGCGGGCCAAATAATATCGCGAGAGTCACTCTGGCATTATCAACCTGTGGAACGCGCCCTTCACGTCGGCAACACCCACGAAGAAGGGCACCGCGCCGCCCTCGAAACTCTCGGCCTCGACCCCCGCGAGCCCATCGGCCGTGGGCAGCACAACGTGAGGCGCCTTCAAAAACCACTGATTGCATCTTCTGCAGTCCAAAACCACGCGCACGTTCAAACGCCCGTGCTTCCAAACAATGAACAATCCTGTCCGCTCGATGCGGCTTCGGCCGAAGCTCACAAGCCCACGCTGCCGCAGGCTGGCAGCGAAGTCGGCGCACCACCACCGGCCGCGATTCAACGCAGGACCCACGCATGAAGTCACCGGGCTGTCATGCACCCACGTCCGTCCATCTTCCGCCGATCGAAGCATTCGTCGGCCACCCCCCCGTAAATTTCCAGCAGGCCTCGCGCAATTCCGAGAAGAAGCCACACTCAGCGACCGACTCGGGCATCGACGCCGCGCCGCGACGGCAGGGCGCAAGCGCCCTGCTGACGGGCTCGCATTTGCACGTGGCCCGCCCCTGTAGAAGGTCGCGGAAAGCCTCTTGAGGCGACGGGGCGGGTTCGTCATCCAGCGCCGGCTGCGTCCTCTCCAGGAGCTCCTCAGCGCGGGCGGCCACGGCCACGCGCCCTGCCAACCCCCTCCGCGACGGCGGCCCCAATTGCGAAATCGTAACCAGCGAGCCAGTTCAAAGCAGCGAGAGCGCCATCGCGCTGCGCCTCGAGCGAACGGCCCCGGCCCCCAGTCGCAAGCCGGCCGAGGCGCCCATGCGGCAGCGGAAAGATGTCTCGCGAGCCACCTGAAGGCCAGACGCCTCCACGCTCCATGCATCGCGGCGGAGGGGGCGGGCGACGCCCCCCCGCCGGGGCATCGGGCCCTGGGCCACGGCCCTCGCGGCCGCGGTCACGGCCCCGAACTCAACTCCCCGCGGCCGCCACGTCTCGCCCAGCCTCGCTGGCCGCGCGCCGCGGCGGCCCCGCCTCGACCCCGTCCAGCAGCGTCGGCGCGCTGGACTCGGCGTCCGCGACCTCCTCCTCGCCGTCACCAGCGGCCCTCGGACGCTTGCGCCAGCCCAGCCCCTGCCGTCGCTCGAGCTCCTCGCGGCGGGCCCTGGCGCCCGCTCCGCCCTTGCGGCCAGGCGGGCGCATGCGGCGGAGGCGGGCACGGCTTGCCGGCCGCGCCTCGTCCGCCCCCCCCCGCTGGGCTCGATCGGAGAGTCTCCGCCGCGCCACGGCGGCAGCGGCCTTTCCGGCGATCCCGATGGCGCCGCAGGCTCTGGCGGGGCCGCTGGCGGGGGCGCGGGCACCGGCGGCTCCGGCGCTGGCGCTGGAGGCGGGGCGGGCGCAGCCGCGGGCGGTGGCGGCGGCGGTGGCAGCGGCGGCGCCGCGGGACTCCCGGCCTGCGCTGCCGCGGGGCGCCTTCCGCTTCGGCCTCGCCCTGGCCTCGGGCCCCGTCGCCTCGACGGCTGGCGACCGATGCTTCGGCTGCAGGTCGAGCTCCTTCGGCTTCGCCCGCTTCAGCGACTCCTCGGCGCACAGCAAGAGCCTGCCTTTCACCGCGGCCGCCTGCAGCTCGCGGAGCGTCACAAAGCGCACTTCACGAGTCCGCACCTCGCGAAAAACCCAACGGCCATCGTCGCCAGCGGCCAGCCGATGGTGGCACCAGTGCACGTCCTCGAGCGCCCCAGGGCCGCCGCGGCGTCCGCGCCCCGCGAGGTAGGTCTCCATGCCCAGCTTCGCGCACCCACGAGGAGGCACCTCGAGCTGCAGCCCCGAGTCCTCGGCGAGCTCACGGAACGCGCAGCCTTACTCGCTGCCGCCCGCCGGCTCCAGCCGGCCCTTCGGGAACTCCCACGCAGGGTCGGAGCCGCCAACGCGACGGAGCGCCAGCACGTCGGGGATCTTCCCCCCGCGCAGCCGAGTCACCATGACTCCCGCAGCGACGACCGACGCCACGGCCGCGGGTTCCACATCGAAGTCGCCGGCCGCGGCGCCGCGCGCAGCAACGGGCGCGGCGGGGCAGGGGCTGAGCCGCTCATGAGCAGGTTGGCTCTTAATGGCGCTAGATACAAAATGGGGATCGACACAACTGCGCCACTGACAGATCATTACTGCGCCCGCACTCCCATCATCAGCATCATCAGCATCACCATCACCATCATCATCATCAGCAGCATCGCCATCATCATCAGCATCATCATGATCATCAGTATCATCAGCATCATCATGAGCACAAGCAGCAACATCCTCGTCATCCCCATCGTCCCCATCCCTCCTCGCTCCTTCCCCCCTCCCACATCCCCCCTCCCTCTTCCTCCTCCTCCTCCTCCTCCTCCTCCTCCACCTCCTTCCTCCTCCTCCTCCTCCTCCTCCTCCTCCTCCTCCTCCTCCTCCTCCTCCTCCTCCTCCTCCTCCTCCTCCTCCTCCTCCTCCTCCTCCTCCTCCTCCTCCTCCTCCTCCTCCCCCGTGGTTTTCAAAATGTAGCTCTCGCCCAAATTCGTCTCACAAATGTGCAAGGGCTTCGCGAACTGAGGGCAGGTCGTTTTGACGCCTTAGCGCCGCGCACATTCGGTTGCAAAGCTTGCAAGAGCTTCACGGATTAGAGGCGGTTCCTTTTCAAAATGTGGCTCTCGCCTGAGCGCCGCGCACATTCGTTTTAAAAGTTGCAAGGGGTTCGAGAACTGAGGGCAGGTCGTTTTCAAAATGTCGCTCTCGCCCTAGCGCCGCGCACATTCGTTTTCAAAGTTTACCAGGGCTTCACGGATTGGAGGCGGTCCCGTTTCAAAATGTGGCTCTCGCCTTAACGCCGCGTACATTCCTTCTAAAAACTTGCAAGAGCTTCACGGAGTGGTGGCGACTTTTTTCCAAAATGTGGTTTTCGACTTTAGCGCCACACACACACACACACACACACACACACACTCTTCGTGACATCTCTAAGAGCTTCACTGACTAGCATGGCTCAAAGAGCAGAAAGAGCGTGTTGGAAAGATTCAGGATTGTCAGGGCGCTAGAGTTCTATTGATTCGCGGCGTTGCAGTCCCAGGAACGGCGTTCTGGCACGATCCGTGGTCGCCAAGACGCAACAGTCAGGTTAGCCCGCGGCGCCGAAGTCCAGAGAATGGTGCTGTGGCACGTCATACGATTTTCGCACGGCTGCCCACCAACGGTGAAATTTCTTCAATGGAAATGAACCTGTGTAGGGGGCAATGAAAAGGAGGTTTGAAGGGAGGGTGTATCCCAACATCGGTGATGAAGCTCGGGCTTACACAGGTCTTTCTCCTCCTCCTCCTCCTCCTCCTCCTCCTTCCCCTCCTCCTCCTCCTCCTCCTCCCCCTCCCCCTCCCCCTCCCCCTCCTCCTCCTCCTCCTCCTCCTCCTCCTCCTCCTCCTCCTCCTCCTCCTCCTCCTCCTCCTCCTCCTCCTCCTCCTCCTCCTCCTCCCCTCCTCCTCCTCCTCCTCCTCCTCCTCCTCCCTCTCCTCCTCCTGTTCCTCCGACTGCACGACCTCCCTCACCCCCACCCTTTTCCACGACCTCGTTCCTCCTCGTTGTTCCTGCTCCCTCCTCCCTCCTCTCTCCTCTCTCCTCCTGCGACGCTGTTTTCTCTCCCGACGCCGGGGCCTCGCACCCGCAAAACTCGCCGCCGCCATCGCGCGCGGGGTCGGCGAGGACCTGGGCACGGAGAGGGACCCCCGCTCCACGTTGACTTTGCGCGGCCTCCCAGACCCCAAGCAAAAAGGGTAACGTTCACAAGGAAAGCGAATATTTGGCCGACGCGACCCAACCCGATATCCGAGGCTCCGTTGGCCGAAGGAGCAGGGAGGAGGAGGAGGAGGAGGAGGAGGAGGAGGAGGAGGAGGAGGAGGAGGAGGAGGAGGAGGACAAGGAGGAGGAGGCGGAGAAGAAGAAGGGGGCGAAGATGAGGACAAGGAGGAAACGGAGGAGGAGGAGGAAGAGAAAGAGAAAGAGGAGGGAGGACCACGGAAGAGGGAGGAGGGAGGAGGAAAGACGACGGGAGGAGGAGGGAGTGAGGATGGAAGGGGAGATAGAAGAGGAGGCGAAGGAGAAGGAGGACGAGGAGGAAAAGGTAGCAGGAGGAGGACGACGTCGAGGAAGGTTGAGGTTGAGGAGGGGACACAGGCCTCGTCGTGTGTCCCGCAGGGTCGGCCCCCTTACCCACTCGCCTGATCGTGGCCCCGAGCTCCCGTGGAGTTCCTCGGCGAATTCCTGTTTTTTGTTGTTTTTATTTGGCCAGGTCCTGTTTGACGGCTCCTGTCTGACGGTTCCTCCTCCCTCCCCCCTCCTGAAATGATACCGCTGTCGTGGCTGGTGCCTTGATAATGATAACGCCCCTTGTTCTTCAAAGCCTGTGACTGCATAAGATATGTGCTTAGGGTCATTCCAGTCATGAAAGCAGGGCGACTCCAGCACATGATATTGAGGTGGCGCCTGCCGCACCTGCGCCCTGAAAAAGATGGGGCCGATCCTCGGTTCAAAAGCCGGCTCTGGGAACAGAGCCACAACGCCAGCGATAGCCTGACTCACTGTGCTCGCACGTGTCGCTCTTTGTTGTTCTCTCTCTCTCTCTCTCCCTCGGCCTTCGATGATGGTGCTGAGATGTCTTCGATGTGAACTTGCAACAACGCTGTTGAAGATGCTTCGTCTCAGCAACCAGCGACGACACCAGACTGGGCAACTGGAGCGACTTCCGGGTCACTTTCCACGATGCCCTTGCCTGCCTCCTGTCTCTTGCGAGAGCTGATGAGTTGTGGATAATGTCTTAGCTGCCGCCTGCCAGTGAGGATAATTGCCACCAGGGGCTCTGGGGACTTGGCGTCGACATTCGTGAAACCATATGCTGGGTTGGCTTCTGAATGAAACCAACGTACTAGGTGACCACCGTCTTGAAAGTCTTGTCGGTATACAACAGTTTCGACAGCCACGCGCTTGACCGTGAGGCCGAGGGCGCTGCTCTCACTCATGACCACGGCGTCGTAGGTCGGCTCGCAATCAACACCTGCTACCGCGCTAGATCTGGCGATCTGGCGTGACAGCTGGAAGGCTCGGCGGGGGTCCTCCACGGGCCCGCGCTCGAACTCGCGCATCGACAGCCGCGCGTAGTCCTGCTCGCCAACCATCTCGGTAAAAGCCTTGGGCCCCTGCAGACGGTGCCGACCTCGCAACTCCCAGTAGCTCCTTGCTCCCCCATGATAGGCAACCCCCGTACTGAACTCCTCGTCGAGAAACATCTGCATTAACAACACACGCGCACCGACCGCCTTGACTTGAGCCGGCTCGCCTAAACAACCCTACTTCAGCAGAGCTAGCCACTGTAGCTGAAGTGTGGGAATAGAAAACTAAGGGCACGCGTGCGCATTCATGTGCACATCGAATCAACTTGCTGCTGTCCATCAGTAACTACCCATCAACGGTGCCCCCCGTGCCCATCATGAGAAATGCTTCTGCGCAGAACCATGGCCGGGTGTTCTGATCGAGCCGCGGTAAAGCTCCAGGAACGTCGCGTATCTCGGTCCTCTCGCTGTCCGACAATGTGCCCGAAAGTCTGCCGCGACGCCCCTCGAGCATAATGATGCACGCGATGGCCAGGGCGTAGTCGGACTGAGAAATTGAAACGCGCCCGTCTGCACGGTGCAAGATCGGAACTCCGCCTTTCACGCGGGTGCCAGCCCCCCCGCTGCTAGAACCGTAAAGAACCTCGATGGCCTTGAACGCTTCGTACGAGTCCTCCAGGGACTCGTTGAAATCTGTCTCGAAGTCGCCCACGCGCACGAGAGCCAAGCCTGCGAGCCCCCCGTCCTCGCGCAGGCTCCACACACACACACACACACGTACTGCTCGTAGCGATGAGGTGTCCAGCCTACCACTTGCGGGGCACGGTCGCGAGACCGTAGGCTGGATTCCTCAGCTAAGCTCCAGCTCGTCGCCAGAACGCGCGTTGAGCGACTCGACTAGCCCCTTGACGGACTCTACAAACACCACGTCGTCGGCGTCCAATGGATCGCCTTGGACGAAGGCTGCTCGGACATCGCACTTGAACAAGATCTGGCTGCCTAACATGAACTAGGTTTCGGGCCCGCCTCGATGGCGTCGGACTCTCCGTATTCTGTTCAAGTAGCAGCGAGTGTAAAACCGAAAACCATGAGACGTGGCTCTGCACGTCAGTCGTCTTCCCACGTGAGTACCCAACGCATCTCCATCAAAAACTCGCTGCTCACGTCGGGGTGCTCTCTCTCTCTCTCTCTCTCTCTCTCTCTCTCTCTATTTTTCTCTCTCTCTCTCTCTCTCGCTCTCTCTCTCTCTCTCTCTCTCTCTCTCTCTCTCGATGACCTCGATGAACTCGTGCTGGAAACAGTAAGTGGTATCCTTGTACGTGGCTTGACTGAACAGGTTAAGCTGGCACTGCGTCAGATCACGGAGTCGAACCTCAAACCGATCTGGTCGAGCCTGATTGGCCACGTCGATGCCAGGCTTCCTCAGGTGCTGACAGTTGCCAAGCGCAAACGCCACTTCGCTCCGCGATGGATATCGAACCAGCGCAGCGCTGATCTCATCGTCGAGCACCAGGAACTCGGACGCGAAGCCGATCCGAGCCCTCTCCTCCTCAGGAGGGCCAACAAGTTTTTGGGGCCTGTCTCGAAGGTGGTCGCGACGTAGGTCTATGATACGGCGCAGGCGAAGAGTCTCCTTATTCGGTCCCCCTGGTTGGAGATCTCCCGTTGGCGAGAACTCAATCTCTGATGTCGCCTGAGCCCTTGCCCGTCGACGCCGCCGCAAGTGGTGCAAGCCGCTCGGGGACGTGACTCGCACTCTCGTCATCAAGTGCCTGAGATTCTGGCCCCTGAATCTTGCGGGGCCCATGTAGGTCCGGCATCTCCTCCTGGAGTTGCGGTAGTTCCTGCGGCCCCAACCTGTCCAGGAGCACCCCGCCAGTAATCCGTCGGGCCGGCTTGATGATAGCGCGCTGAATGGGCGCCCCTGTCTGCTAGATGACTGTTGGTGAACCCAGAGGCGCAGTTGAAGACTCCTCCGCAACGTCAGGAAACTGCTCGAGTAGGGTTCGAACTCCAGGATGCCGCGGGTCCTGGACGTCACCCATCTTCCCGTTGAGGTGCTGGGTCGCCCTGCTTGGTCAGGTCCCCCGCCACGTTCGGGTAGATATGCTTGAAGCTGTCGCACAAGTTGCGCACGGGGCCGCTCGCCAAATCGAAAAGCCCCCGATCCGCCTCCGAGGCGATCTTGAGATGCTGAGGCGGCCTCCAGATACTTACCCGCACGGTGCCTGTGGGAGTCGCCGATACGTTCTGTCCAGCTGACGCGGCGAAACAAGACGACGTCTGGACCTGTCCAGCTGTCCGTGAACTTGCCTCGAGCAGCGTTGGAGATGCCCTGGCCGCGTCTCCAACACCATGCCAACTTAGCCGCGCGGCATTCTCGCGTAGACCTGGCCGCACGCAGCACTGCGGCCTGGATTCCCGAGCTTCCCTGAGCCTCCTCGCAGGCACCTGCGCACGCGCGCCGGCGCCACTGATGAGCTGCTACGCTTTCGCTCGGACTCAGCAGCGGTACTTCTGGCAGGCCAACAGGCCTGCGTCAATCGGCTATGGCGTCTTGCCCAGCATGGCCTCGAGCAGGCCGCGCCCTTCGCGTCGATGTAGATCGTCGAGGGCCTCTGCGACCAGAGACCGCAGCACCTTCGCGGGCACGTCGGCGCCCAGTAACACGGCCGAGCGGGTCGCCGTAGATTTGAGCGCATGGATCGCCCTGGCGACTCCGCCAGGTCTGCCCGCTGGCGTCACCGGCGCACAACCAGAGGGACCTTCACTTCTGCGTCTGCAAAGAGATCAATCGATGCCCTCCTGATGAACCTACTATCGGCATCCGCCGGACCGCCTTCGGGCGGCCGTAGCGCGGGAACCACCGCTCGCCGATGCTGCCCCTTAACATGTTCCCGATGACGTTCCCGACATGGCTGTCAGCCTCCACCCCCTTCTAGATCACTGGCAGGATGAGGCGGGTCGCCTCGCCCATGTCGAGCTGGCCCAGAGCCGCCTCATGGGAAATCGGACGCCCCCAGGTGAACGCGTCAGTCATCGCCGACTCACCGCCGCCAGGGATCTGGTGGCAGGTGGCCACGGGCTCGACTTCAGATCGTCTTGGTCCGCTGACATGCGCGGCACTTGGGGCGCGGCGCCGCTCGCAAACCTCCCCATCGACACCCAGCGTCCATGAGCATGCGGCTGGACGTCTCGTTGCGAGGGTGACTGAGGCTGTCGCGGGCCCTCACAAGCTGGTTGTAGGTCCTAGTGCCGATCATGTCCTTAGCGTCGAGCCCAACAATGCCGTCTTCTTGAGTCTCTGGGTCACCCGTCGCGACGTCGGGGTCCAACCTTCGCTCCTGCGGTCGGCCTGGGCGGTCGGACGCGGCCTGGTGCCAATCCGTGGACATCTCCTTCGACGTCGTCGACCTCGGTCGCCTTGCGACCATCCAGCATATGGACCCACTGCGACCACGTCTTGGGCTGCAGGTGCCGCGAGACCTTCTTGTTGAACATTTAAGGGTAGCCCGCTGAACTAGGGGCGAGCCAACCGTTGAGCTCGATGTGGCAGTGGCCCCCAGGACACTGATACTCGAGATAACCCTTGAGACAACCGTCGAAGGCCACGATGCGGAACGACTAATCGAGAAACCAGCGACCGTCAGGCCGAATGCGCAGTCACGTGCAGCTGCCCCTGCAGACCTCCCAAGGCATCCCTCGTCGATCGCACGGCCGAGCTTCAAAAATCTCTGCAATTCTGGAGCACCCGCCTCATGCGTAGGCTACTGCGCTGGGCTGCGGTCCTCTGGTTCCAATTCTGGTCGATCGAGAAACGTCCGCAACGTGGCGAAACCATCCCAGTCGAGGGCGTCTCTCTCTCGCGCGATGGCCAGAATAGCGTCGGGCCCCCTTCGTCTCGCGAGGTCGCAGCCGTTGCAGGGGCCGCACCAGACTGCCGCGCCGCCGGCCCTGGCGTTCGCGCCGGCAAGCCAGCCGTCCGCGGGGGCGCGCACTTCTGGCAGGTCCAAGCGATCACAGAGGCGGGCCACCTCCTTGGCGAGCTCGGCACCCACGCTTTTCGCCTCCTGCCCGAGGCGGCCGAGGCAGCGGCCCGACACGTTGTGGCCGGCAGCCCGGGGATCCCGAGGTAGCGCCAGTCCGCCTTGAGCTCGCTCGAGAGCTTGCCCTGGGCACTCCAATCTCCTGTCGTGAACTTCCGATGGACCGGCCATGGCCACGCTTGTACTGGGGTCTTCCGATGTAGCCTCTGCTCTGCCTTCTAAGTGTACTCCGTCGTGAAATCGACGCCATGGCCCAGACGCGCCCGCGGGCGCTGGCGGGCAGCTACGCATGCATTCTGGTGAAAGGGTAATTTCCGCGCTGGCAGAGGCGGCCGCCAGTTCCAGCAGGTCGGGCGGTGGCACGTCCACTGGAACTCGCTGCTCGGCTGGAGGACTGGGTCCTTGCTGAACTTTCGGCGGTCTGCCCGTCGCGGCCGCGTCGGTGGCGCCGCCCGTCTCGGCGCCGAGCGCGCGCGCGGTCGCTGCGAGCGGAGTCGCCGCCGTCGCTTCCACGGCGGGGGCGCTGGGGTGGACGCGGGCGCGAGCGCCCTCGCCGCGAGCCTCGACGCGAGGACATCGCCGCCCTGCTTCTGCAGGCCGTCGACGAGCGCGCCGCGTCAAACCACGGCGCAACCGAAGGAGCCCTCACCAGCCGAGAAGAACGCCCCAGAGCGGGCGCTGCAACTACAGCAGGCCCGGGAGATGCTCGGCAACAAGACGGCCCCGACGAGCCTTGATGCGACGACGTCGGCCTCCTGCTTCTGTAAGCTGTCGCAATATTCCTGGGACACCTCCCCGATGTCCTGCAAGATGAGCCCCATCCGCCCTCGCCCCCCCGCCTCCGCGGCGGCCCCCCCTGCCCCCTTCCTCTGCTTCCGCGCGCGCTCGATGAGTTGCCGCGCCCTATCCTTGAAGAGTGGCGCCCAGTCGCCGATCTCGATCATCTCCGAACAGTGCTCGCAGTGGGTCTGGGCCTTGGCCATCTTCGCCAAGCCACCGGCAGCTCTCGACAATCGTCTGCCACTAGATCCCTGCACCGAAAGACGCAAGCCCGAAGAACCCAACGAGGGCGCCGCGCGTTCTGAGCATCTCATCGCCCCCGAGGGCGGGCACGGACATGGAAAGGCCAGAAGGTCACACGACATGGAGATAACTTCCCCGAGCGCCCGACATGAAATCAGCGCCTGTCTGCCCAGATTCAGGGCCAGAAACAGCGTCGAGAAGGAATGCAGATGTTGAAGATGCGCTGGGCAAATATCACGCGATGATAAGTCACGCATGGTGTGTACAAGATGTAGTAATAGTGCTGTATTCTTACTGTGCAGTAGCGATTCCGTATGTATTCGCATGTGATATGCTGGATGGCGACGGCATGTCCGATTGCCCTGATGTCAGCGTGGATGATGGCGAAGGCGCGCCCGACAGCGCTGATGACATAAGCTGATTTGCCACATTGTGTCCGTTTGCCTGCAGAACAAGCCGGCAGGGGCGCAGTGGCAGCGCTCGCGACGGCTGCGAAGACGGGGACATCGGGCGCCAAACTCCCTGCACCTGACTCGGTTGCGCGCGGCGCCATAGCCGAGTCAAGGAGCAATCCCGATTTGGGCGAAACAGCTGGGAGCTGCCCGGCCCCCACTGCGCGCTGGCGACAGACTCGCCGGGCGCCTCAACGTCTAACGCCGAGCGGCCTCTGGCCAGCCTGGGCGGCATAAACTCTGGAGGCCGAGCTCTTGACCACGCACCTGCCCATCTCGAAGCCCACGCGGAATCCGAGGGCCCGCAGGCGGCCCATGCCGAACAGCGCGGGGCAAGATCTGGCCAGGCCTGCGAACGTCAGCACACCAGAAATGTCGGCGACGAAAGACGGTATCGTGATGCGGCCCATGCTCTTCGCCTTCTCACCGTCGGCGAAGGTGCATTGCGCCTCGTAGGTTGGGTCGACTGGAACCAGGTCCTCAGCGCTGGTGAGATATCTCGCATTGCACTGCGCTGAGCCAGGGTTGGCCTGCCATGCCCTGAAATGCGCCGCTGTCCACGATTCCGCCGCCGCGGCACTGCCGGGCATTGAAGAAGCTACAGGCCGCGAAACCGTAGAAGCCAAGCTCCTCGATTGTGATGTCGAGAACGCAGCTACAAAGCCCACCGAAGGCAGGTCGGTCTGAGCCCATCAACCCCGGGCAGTCCTCGGTCACGCGGTCCGGCTCGCCACACTCGAGGCACTTCTTGATGGGACCGCCTTCTGGCGGCATGGGCTGCCCGCCACGGGGCCGACGCGGCCTGCGGCCCAGTCGAGGCCGTCAGCCTGCTTGCTCGATGACGATGGTCCGCGGCCAGCCGGTCTTGGTCCACGGTCTTGTCGCTGAAATCCTCCACCTCGGGGTGGTCGGGGAACGCGCTTCTGTCCACGCTGGTCACCTCCTCGACGAACGAAAGGGTGGTCGCCCGCCCCCTGAGCGCGGAGGTATGGTCAGCTGGCCAGTCGATCAGCAGCGGCTCAATACGACGGGTCTGGCTTTTATGTTGATGAGTGGGTGGCGGGAACTTTGACGAGGATGGTCCTTTCGCTTTGCGACAGTGAAAGCACAGATCTTGAGAACCGTCCCTAGCATATATATATATATATATATATATACCTCTTCCTATATTTTTACAAGCCCGGGCGGGGGGAACCCCCCCCCCCAAAAAAAAAACGGACTCCCGGGATCTGGGGCTTTGGGACCCTTCGGACGGGCCTCGAAGCGGCCCCCAGGGCCTCGCAGGGCGTTTTGCCTAGCCTTCGCAGCACACCTAGGGCGATCAGGGGGGTCATCGGCGACGTCCCAGAGAACCCCAAGACAGCACAAGAGCGCTCCAAGAAGCCGTCATACCCCGAAAGATCGCTCCAAAACGTACCAAGAGGCCTCCAAGAGCACCCCCAAGAAGGCCCCAAGAGGGAAAAAGAATTGATCTAATGTAGGTTTTTAGTGAATTTGGGGTTCTCCTCTTTTCGGCTTCCCGACGCTCCAAGACAGCGGTCTTCTGGGCGTCCGAAGTGGCCTGGGAGGCTCCAAAATCGCCCCACAACCATCCGAAAGGGTTTCCAGGCAGTCCAAGAGAACCCCAAAACGGCTCAACAGGGGTCAAAATGGCCCTAAGAGAGCCCCATGGCGGCCCAAGATGGCCCCAAGACACCCTCCGAAGCATTCCACGTCGTGACCGGGGCGTTCAGGGAGACCGCGGTTAGAGGCAGGTTGGCCTTAGGAAGCCCCAAAGGCCCCCAGAACAAGCCCAGGAGGCCTCCAGAAGGCTTTAAGAAAGTCTGAGAACTTTGGTGAGGCCCCCAGAGGCTCTCCAAGGAGGAGCCTTCGCAAACAGAGCTGAGGAGGATGAGGAGAATGCCCAGGGTACGGCGAGAATGAGGAACAGCAAGCGTGGAGGAAGGATAACGAACAACATTACTACTATGACGATGCCAGAAAAGGCAACAAGGAGTTATCGCTAAATTGTCCGATTGGCCTTCCTGCCATTTCCGCCTGCATACCAATATTCAAGGAACAAGGTGCATGGCGCGAAGCGCCACTGCAGTCTTGTGTATATATATATACATACATACATACATACATACATACATACATACACACATACACACATACATACATACATACATACATACATACATACATACATACGTACATACATACATACATACATACATACATACATACATACACACATGCATACATACACATCTACATACATACGTGCATGCATGCATGCATGCATACATATATACATACATACATACATACATACATACATACATACATACATACATACATACATGAGTACATACATACATGTGTATAAATGTATGTTTGTATGTATGTATGTATGCATGCATGCATGCATGTATGTATGTATGTATGTATGTATGTATGTATGCGTATGTCTATAAACACATGTGAATACATGTATGTGTGTGGGTATGCGTATGTAGATGCACGTACAGACATATGATCTGGAGTATGTGAATGTGCTTGTATGGATGCATGTGTATACATGTATGTAAGAATGTATGTAATTACGTTGGTTTGTACGCATGTATGTATGTGTTGATGTATGGAAGTGTATGTATATGTATGTATGTGTATGTGTGTATGTATGTGAATGGGTATGTGTGTATGTATGCATGGATGTATGTGTATATATATATACATATATATATACATGTATGTATGCAGATATAAACTACGCAACACCCCGCAATTGCGGATAAGAGTGACGGGGCGGGCGCGGGCGACGCGGGCGTCGAGCCGGCGGACCTCGTGGCCCTCACCTTCCCTGAGGCTGGCGCCCTCCTCCTCATCCTCCTCCTCCTGCTCCTCCTCCTCCTCCTCCTACTCGTCCGCGTCATCGTCCTCATCGTCGTCGTCGTCGTCCGCCTCCTCCTCCACCTCCTCCTCCTCCTTTTCTTGCTCCTCCTCCTCCTCCTCCTTCTCCTTCCTCTTCCTCCCCCATCCCGATCCTCCCCCCTCCTCCTTTCCGTCGTCGTCGTCCTCCTCCTCCTCCCCGTCCTCCTCCCTCCTTTCTCGTCGTCCCCCTCCGTCCCCCCCTCATTTTCCTCCTCGCCCTCGTCGTCGGCCTCCTCTTCGTCCTCGTACTCGTCGTCGTCGTCGTCGTCGCCGTCGTCTTCGTCTTCCTCCTCCTGCTCCTCCTCCCGTCCTCAGCGGAGCGCGCGCGCGCGCCAGGGGGGTGAGTCGCGGGCTTGTTCAGTGAACGTTGTTTGGGTCGCGGGTGGGTCGCGGGCTCTCCACCTCCACCTGGAAGGAAAAACAGCCCGCCGCAGGCGCCGAAAATTTTGTACACTGAACGCGGTTTGGGTCGCAGGTGTGTCGCAGGTTCTCCACTTGGAACGAATGCAAAAGAAGCCCGCCGCAGGCGCCAAAAATTTTGGGTGGGTCGCGGGGTGGGTCGCGGGTGGGTCGCGGGTGGGTCGCGGTGGGTCGCGGGTGGGTCGCGGGGGCGGTGGGCGGGGTCGCGGGTGGGTCGGGGTGGGTCGCGGGTGGGTCGCGGTGGGTCGGGTGGGTCGCGGGTGGGTCGCGGGGGGTCGCGGGGTGGGTCGCGGGT